ACCTGCCCCCCCCCCCAAAGTGTAATCCTGTTGAGATCCCAGACTATGCCCGTCTTGCTCCATATTTTATCCCTGGCAGCTAAGACCTTACTAGACCAATAGGTGCTCAAATGAGGGAATGAGCAGTTCTGCCTACTTTACAGACATGGCAGAAGGTGAGAGGCAGTGAGACACACAGGAAAGCCAGTGACAGATGGAAAATAGTAGAGAAGTCCTTACTTGCACGTTTCTTCATAATCCAATGGATTACTTCCTTGTACTTTTCCAAATTTGTCTTCAACCTAAAAGGAATGTGAGTTATTTTTAAAGCTGAGAATAAATTCCTGTTTATATGTCATGCTCCACAGTGTAGACCATGCTAGAACCTGCTGAGTCTTTTGCATAGGTGGAAAGTTGGGCTTATGGTTCTTTCAGACCCAGCTTTTCTTCCAATCAGAGCTCAGGAATAAAGGGACAGCACATGGTATCGACTCAGTGCTTCCCTCCTGGCCTCTAATTGGCCTTCCACCTGGGTCCTGGGCACCTGGTCTGACCCCCCAAACTTTAAAAAAGAAATTTAACAAGGGTCATCTTGGGGGATAGGGCAGGGCAGAAAGATCCAAATGCAAGGCGATTCTATGAGTTAAGCATTAGAAATCAAGCTCATGCAGCTTGATTTTTCTATGGCTTGTATGTATCCCAGTGAGGGTTACACTTGGAAACATTTTGGAAAAACATTGTTCGTGCCATTTGCATTTAGTAGGAAGATTTTCAGTAATCCCATTCAGAATGACTCACCATGAAAGCCACATCAAGGTACAGCTTTTCAAAATACTCAAGCCCTTAATGCCCTCTCATGTCAATACACAAAGCAAGCCACCTTGGCATTTCAATGGCTTGGACTGTTGTCCTGCCAAATAAAGGTGGCCTCCAGGGATAACTGTATTTCCCGGTTCTCAGATCAGAGCACTTTTGAAAGGGAATGTGCCAGGATTGGGCTTCCCAGCTTAATTAGATCTGGAAGAAGGCCTTTGACATGACAGATTTTAAGTTCTTGGTACAGATTCCTCAAAGAGATCATGATAATTCAACCCCAAGCAACCCTGGGAAGCAAATACTCCTTGCTGGAAAGTGCTGAACTAGTTCACTTGGCAGAAAGTTCACCAAGGTTTACTATTTTTGCTTTAGAAGCAATAATGGAACTTGAGAATGAGCTCTTCATGACCCATTTGTACCAAATGTTATTTGTCTTATTTGCTAGCACTTTGAATGGAATGGAAGCAGTTACCTAGCTTACCATTACCTGTGAAGGAATGAGGACTGAGGAGTGGGTGGGGTTAGACCCATCCCACAGGCCAAGAGAGGATGCCAAATATATGCAAGAGTTAAAACTCCAGTGAGGGGGTGCAGACAGAGGCCTTTTTGGGAAGGTTTCTACCTTTGGTTCTTTGCCCACCTTTGCAAGCTAGTGGAATCCTTACCAGGTAGCTCCTTAATGGCAGAGACTCTGGGGTATATACCCTGTAAAGATCAGCACACAGATAAGCACAGAGTAGGTGCTCAGGAAATGTTTGTTGAGTGCAATAAGGTTAGAATGAGCTTCGATAACAGGCTTAAATAGGAAGGGACGGAGGGTGGAATGTCATAGATAAGGTAGAACAACTTACTGGGATGTTTTCTGGCATTTGTTTTTTGCAGCTGTACAAGGATCTGAAAGCTTGGATATTTGCCTTCCTCTTTCCTAGAGAAACCTCAGAGGACTCTGGCCCCAGGACACTACTGAGCCCAAAGCTAAAGTTGCTGGCAGTCAATCTCTCTTCCCGATTTTTGTAAAAGCCTCAACTCATGAAGGAGATTATTCAGGACACCGCGTCCCCCACAGCCTGTTCCTTGGCACCTCTGCCAGAGTTTGTGATAGACTCATGGGAGGCCGAAAAACACACTTGCTCACCAAGGGTTTTTGACAGCTGGATGAGTGAAAATGCAGCACAGGGTGGATGTACAAATGAGATTCTGAAACATTTTGTGACTGGGGTAATGTCAACTAGAAAGGCTTGGTGCCAGCCACAGTCTTCATCATTCTCCACTCCAAATAGGGGCTTTGGCCATTACTCCTAGATCAGTGAAGCTTATGGCTTTTCCCCTCCAAGAAGCCTGAAAAAGCATTAGCTTAGTCTAGGATAAAGGTAGGGAATTTCTTAGGCAGATGCCCAGCATCTTGATTCCCCGACTGTCTCCTCTCTTAAAAGGCCTTGGGCTCTGAGCCTTGCTCCCCAGACTTTTGTCCAAGTTCATGGTTCCTTCAAGACTTTTCTTGCTCTGGATTTCCAACCTCTGTCATTGCCTCGCTTTGATCCTATCCTGGATCTCCCATGCTTGTAGATTTCCTTGCCCCTGTGCCTGGCTCATGCCCGGTTTTTGACTCAGGGGACCTGTCTGGCACCCGCCTTTCTCTTTTCTCTGGTGGCCCAATTTATACTTTCCTTGCTGCTACCTCTGACTTACCTGAACCTACTGACCAATACCTTGATCTCTCCAGTCACTTACAGAATTACCAGTTTCCTTCTGGTTTCACTCTCCAGGTGGCCAGTCAGGGGAATGTCAATATCCTCTTCCAGTTCATTGTGAGCAGCCATTTCTTTGACCACGGTTTTAAATACTGAGTGATAGGAGCTCTTAAAAAGCTACGAAAGGATCACAGAATAAGACATCCAGAAAATGAGAATTAGCGATTTACTAATTAATCACTTTTCTGACTCCTAAAGGTGTCAGGTGAGATTTCAAATTATTATTCAAAAGCCACAAATAGTGGGAGCAGTAGGGTGGCTAGCAAGATTTGTTTTAAAAGATATTTCAATTATTATCATAACCTCTACTCACTTCCCAATTCCCTCAAGATTTTTTTTTTAACAGCAGCATACCAAGAAATCTTTTGAGAGCATAAAATTATGCTCTTTTTTTTTTTTTTTTTTAA